CGAATACCCAGTGGAGGACGCACCTGAGCTGGAACTGGATGCTGCTGAGAAAGAGCCGCTGCTGCCGCCCGACTGCAGCCAGGACAGGGTGCTGAGTGGGTCACTCTGCGCGCGACGGGCCAGCGGGTGCTCCAGAGATCCTATGGCTGTGTCCTGAGGCAAAGTAGGCGACAGACGAGGTGTAATGGCCCCTCCACTCAGACCACTGCTGTTCCTGCGCAGGGGCTGCTGTGAGGAGCTTGACTTGGAGGCAGTCCCATTCACAAAAGGTGCCCAAATGTTGGAAGTGCTGAACTCGAAGCCCAGTTCATCAGAGGAAGGCAATCCTGGTGTAGAGTCACCTCCAAAACTGAGCCCCCCCCCAGCACTGCTGGAGCCAGTGCTAAAGGGACTGGTGGGGCTACCCCCTTCATTGCTTTTGCGACTGTTAGTGAAACCATCAGAGTTCAGGTTGCCATTGTGCGAATGGTATGTTGCGGAGGACAGCTTACGCCCAGTTGAATGCTGCATGGCCATGGAGAGGGCCGGGGGAGGCGAGGGGGGAGAGGGGCCTGAGTGGTGCCCAGTTGCCCGGGACCACAGCGAGGCTCCTAGGCCAGCACTCAGTGCACCCAGGCCCTCCAAACTGACATCAGTGCCATTGGTGTGGAAGTCGTTGTCTCCCTGCAGATCCACGAAGGTGCCGGTTCGCAGCGTGATATGCGTCTCAATCTCCTCCCGTGCTCGGTCCACGTTCTCAGGCATCCCAGTCACCTCAAACACAGGGTCCTTCTCTCGACTCGGGGTCACGATATAAGTGTGTGTCTGCTGCTGGATGCGCTTGATAGTGGCTCCTTTTGGTCCCACAACTAGGCCCACAACTCTGTATGGCACCCGCACCTGCACAGAACAAGGGATATGCTAACACATTTGGCCTGGGGGAGATGGGACATGAAGGTCAAGGTAAGAACTTTACCTGTATTGTAGTCTGCCCTGGAAGGTGAGGGGGGCCAGGGAGCGAGCCGCCGCCCCCTGGGCCCCCCGCTTTACAGCGTGAAGCTCTGATCATGGAGAAGTGCTCAGCTGCCGACACGATTTCCCGCTTTGCCATTTCCACATCCTCCCTTCGGCCAGTCACTATAAACACAGGATCTTCACCCCGAACTGGAGTCTTTATGTAGGTATTTGTCTTTGCACGCAATGCCTTGATCTTACAGCCTAAAAGAAAGGAATAGGTAATTAAGTCCTTAAAGACATGAAAATTTAAAAAGTAATAATAATTATTATAATTTGTCATAGCCTCTATAACCAAGTTTTAAATACTCAAACTGACCTCACCTAAAATTGAAATAGCTACTCTACAATAGGTTTGCAAACTTCAGGGTTAAAATGGTCACAGATTACCTACTTGTAGTAGTGAGTCGTCAACAAATTGATACTATTTTTAATCATTTATAAATATATAGAGCATTCTCCCTCTCCAAACTAGCAGAACGTGTGTAGTCTGCTGATCTGCCTGTGTAGTCTTATCGCCAGCGTGAACATTCAAAGTGTTCTGTTTCTTTAAAGACAGACGCGTCGTTTCCATTAACCAATGGGACACGTTGACTGTGATGTCATTCTGGGAAGCTGAAAGCATGGCTTTTCAAACAAAGAGAACAATGACACGCCGCTATAGACGCCGCAGGTGTCGTTATAAATTAAAAATATGACCCAGACATTATTTATTAAGATATATGGATAAAAAGGACAAAGAAACGACCATTCCGAACGGGCGACTAGCGCTCAAGCAGCAGCTGAGGCAGAGGCAGTGGGAGCAGGGCGTAACACCGCCCAATCCTGTGTTAGTGCGCTTACTGTCTATTCATCCCAAATACACCCAAAACAATAACAGCACATTCATAGCCTAACATCACCAGGAGCACTACTTTTGTACTTGCAAATACTAAATCAACCAACTGCACGAACCATGTCAAACATTTTATGGCATTTTCTTTGTTTGGTGCAAGCTCTGAGACATGTCCAGACTCCCGACAATCTGCCGCTTTGTCTGACCCTCTCCCACCCCTCCCCCTTCATCCTACTCATCAACCACACTCCCTTAGCCCCTTTACTCGTCAAGCTATTATCTAAATAGAGTCACATGCAAAAACCCAGGACATGTGCAGTTTAACGCACATTGCATTATTGCTGTATGAAGCATATAAACAATGATGTCATGTTCAGAAGCAAACTATGGTGGAAAAGTTAAGTCTAACATACAACCAAACAAAGAAAAACAGGCAGCATGCAACAGTACATGTTGTCCACTAAGACATCACATCAATAATAATACATTTGCACTCACCTTGTCTGCCCACAATCTCCGCCACATGCTCAGAACTGGGCACGGGGACACACTCGGTCATGTTTACACTTCTTTTCCTGTTACAGAGCACCGAGCTTTGTTCTCCGTGAAGCATGGAGTGAGAGCCAGCCATGTGGTAGCCGCCTGACCCATAATATTCCGGGGAAGGGGAGCAAGATGTGGGCGAATCTCGCGACCCGCTGGGGTGGTCCAGCATCTGCAGATCCACGTAGCCTCCTCCGCCCACTCCATTACAGCCTTCGGAGCCTGAAGCCGGGGTCCCATCCAAGGCGTCCAGCCCATTGCCCCCGCCACCACAGTCCACTTTGTCCAGAGCCATGAGTGACAGCTGGTCCAAGGCAAAGCGGAGTGCCTCCTGGTGCTCCTCATCCCGGGACTCCTGATCCCCGCTGTGCTGGCTGCTGATCACCACGTCGTGGTCCATAATTTCGGGGTGGAATAAAGGGCTAGGCATAGTCTCCGGGATCTCACATCAGCTCACAAAAGCCTGTGTCGATGAGTCACCCTTTCAAAGACAAGGGAAAAAGTTTAGATAGATATACACACATAAGTTGTTAAGGCTGAACAAAAGACGGCAATAGTTGGAGCGCTTGGCTTTGTTGTTGCTTTGTGTCACTGAACCATCCTGGGGCTGCTTGTTTTGTTGGATACAGCATGTTCATATCGTGGATAAATAACATTTCCTTCAGGTGATACCACAGATAACGCCAACTAATGATAGTTGAAAACATGCACCAGCTTTGGCAAAAGTGGAAACGACAAAAGTGGATCTAATCGCGATAACAAAAAGAGCTAGCTGTTAGCTGCACAGAGTCGGCTCCAGTCACGTTGTCGCCCCTTTGTTTGGGAGCGCTGGGGCTAGCTGCTAGCTGTACACAGACAGCTGAACTTCCACTCTTTCTTACACCAGATATGCTGATTTTCAAAATTAAACAAGGGTGGAAAACACTCAAACTTACTTCGTCTTGTCTTATCCGAGAAAGCCCTCTTCCTGTTTGAAGACAAGTTGTTGAGGGTAAGATGAGAAGAAGGCAATAGGAGGAGGCGATCAGTTGTGGGCAGCACTAGTAGCTAGTGTTAGCCACTAGCAGCTAAACGGGGGGCGTAAGAGAAAACGATTAAAGCAAGGCTGTGTTGTTTTCCCACTTACTGAAAAATTTAAGCACGCCCCCAAAGCTGTCACTTGGCCCCAATCCTGCGCGGCATCCCCAGACCGTACTGAGAGCCAGAAGAAGCAAGTTACCTTTTTCGATGCAAACGGAGCTCCTCGCTGTGCGCTGCCTGACCCCGGTCCGCCGCCTTTGTCTCGCCCATAGACTTTACACACAAGAGGCGCACGCACAGACCACGGGCGCACGCCGCCTCAGCACCGCACACGGCACTGACGTCACCCGCGACACAACAATGGGTTCAAAGGCCATCTGCAGCAACCGAGCGTATCTGCATCATCTGCATACCCCCGCCGCTAGCACCGTGTGTCAGAACATGGTCTTTACCTACCTGGGACAGAAGCATCTAGGATACAAGTATTAGAACCTATGAAGTAATCCAGGCTTACACTCATTAAAATAAAATAAGAAACGCCTCTACGAAGACAAAGACAAAACAGTACAGGAATCGCAGGGTACTGACTGTATATTTTTCAACAATTACTATTTTTGCATTTGGCAGTACTGTGGTTTTCGTTCGAGCATGTGGGGGAACAAATGAAAAAAACGAAAAACAAATGTTAGTGTTAAAAATAACAGAAGTTTTTTAGACAAAAAACAAAACAAACTTGAAGACACAAATATAACCAGGTATAGGTCTGACTTGTTTCTAGAACATCTGCTACATTTTGTAAACATCCAGAGACCACATGACTGCGATGGCTGATAAGCCAAATATCTATTAATCTAGAATTTGATGTTATAAATTCAGATGGAGAGATATCTATGGGAGATTCACTATTCTTGAAAGAAATATCAAATTTTGTGGTCCACCAATGTTAAACCCTGTTATTTTTAAGTGTAAAGCTCCACAAACCATTAAAAAGGACATAGCTCCTTATTTTGTCAAACATTAAAGCTGTAACACTAATATTTAATGTCAAATCAGCATGGGAAGCATCAATGTCATCCATCCATTTTCATCCGCTAGAGGCAACAGTCTGAGCAGAGATCACCAGACCTGCCTTTCCACATCAAAATAAGTTTATAGCAAAAGCACAATTAAAAAAACAACATAATTTGATCAAACTTGAATAAACTTTTAATATGCCACTTGCCTGACCTTTTTTAATTACAAATTTAGAAATATAATTTTAGAGGCATTGTTTTAACCTTTAACATGAGAATCACCAAGGAACAGCAAACCAACAGCAGCAGCTTTACTTTTCTTTATATTTACCAATAAAATTGAGCTTACATTGAGAGTTAATCTAACAGCAGAAGAAAAAAACATGTTTTAACTTCCATAGAGCACATAAGCAAAGACAATGTAAAAAGTGAACAAAAGAGCAGTGGAACAAAAGGATAAACTGTTGGATCACTCCTGGTGAATACATTTATAGTGTCAGAATACGTTTGAATGTACATTAAATTTAGCATCTTAGTCTTCATCGGTTTATCATTAGGCAAAATGATAATTCTTCACGATGTGACACCACAATCGTTAGCTCTAAGCTATATTTTATACCTAGATGGTTACAACAGATTTCACAGTAACTATTTCATGTAGATAAATTTGCCTGACAAATCCAGAATGATATTTCTGGATTTTTTTATGCATATGAAGTGTGAAGAAGTGTGTATTCTGGATGCCAGGCAAATGTATTAACCTATCTAGAAAGACCTAAATCCGAAGCACTTGGCAATCACATATGCAGTATGAAAAAGGAGCTCCTGACATAATATGCTAAAGGCATTAACAAAAGCACTGTGTTTAGTCAGAGGTATAGTCACACTATACAAACCCTTAACATATTTTCTGCCATTATCTGTAAACAAAATTGCACTCAACACACTGGAGGAAAGAACTAACCATAATAACACACTGAGTTTATAATATAACAGCACCTTTAACCGTCTAAATTTAAATGTAAAACCAAAATGAGAAACAACATCTCAACAGAAAGCACTTTTTGACATTTGGATAGAAAATGCGAAAGACTGTCGAGGTATTTGTCATGAGGAATGTAGCTTCAGAAATATGAATATCTATTCTGGCTATGATATCTTTGGATCCACCTGCATCACTGTCTCATCCTGTCCCCCAGCCATTTCATCTGAAGTGAGGTCATTTAAATGAGCTAAAGAGTCAGCCATTAGTGCTTCTTCCAGTCGCCTTCGGACACTTTGTACTTGTTTCTCCTGTTTCCTATAACACAAACAGGACCACGAGAAGAGGTAAATTGAATCAAATTATCAATAGTGAAAAACTAAAGTACACTCCATAGAAAACCAAGCAAAATTAACAACTGAACGGTACCTGATATCCTCATCCGTCACAACAAAAGCTTTGCAAAGTGGCTGAGAGGTATTAAGCCAGACACCAGGATTTTTATCCACTGCTGTTGTCAGCTGTCCAGTGATAGGTGAGCCACTAGTGTGAAGGGCACTGGCGATGGCAGACAGCAGAGTTTCATCTGAACAGGCAAGGCCTACACCTGAAAAAGATGTCAAGAGGGCACAATCACTCATCATGAATATCAAAATAGTAGGCCAAGCGTGCGTTTAAAAAAACAGGGAAATTATTTTCTTACCCTGTAAGCCTTTGGGGAGATCAATAGTTTTGATTAATTCCTCTGCAATATTAAATGCACTTAAACCACTTAGCTTCCTCTCCCAGAACAACTAAAAGGGTAACAATAAAATCAATATTAATATATGCTTAATTTATAAGATAATCATTAACAGCAGCACCTGTTTGGGGGGTTCTCTAGCTTTTCGCAGATCAGTCTTCACAGTATTTTTGGGGTGCTTCGTCACCTTAGTTACCGGTTGTTTGAAGATGGAGGCTGTCTGCCTCACTGGTAGTGTTGTGTTTAGGTCAAGTCTGGTCTGTAAAACATAATAAATAATAGAAAACTCACAAAAGAGCTCAGATTTAGATAAAAGGCCAAGAATATTCCCATAATGAAACAAAAATAAATGTACAAGTCCAGATTATTTTATCCCATTTTACTATTGTCTGCAATCATTCAGTTAATCATCATTTCACTGTAAATTCACCCTTGTAACCCAGAGGTTTTCCCTGATGCAACCTTAATGCATACATGATTTTGTAACTTGCGAAAAGCACTGACCTTTATTTGTGTGGTGTTATAGGCATTTCTCTGCTTGAAGTGCTGTGCTTTGGTCTGAAGGAGTCGTCCAGCTCCCACATGGCTGCTGCTGTCAGCATCTGTCTGTGAGGCATTTCCAAAACCATGGATGATCTGGGGCTTGTTCAGAAAATGTTTGACAGGAATGCTATAAAATTGAAAACATATTGTAGATGTAAGCAGGATAAAATAAAACAGGCAAGAAATATCAGCTGGTATAAGAAAATAAATACATTTTACTAAATGTACTGATTTTCCTCCACCTTTAGACAGGTGTTGACAATTAGCATTTCTTGCTATAACAATGCATCTGGTTCATCTAATCTATGTTTTGTCCATGTCCATTTATTCCTTTTATACAGTCTAACATGTCTTTCAGCAATCAAAGACATTTTACATTACATTTTACATTACATTAGTAATTTACTCCACACCTGGTGATGAGTTACTTCTAGCCATAGCTCTCTTGGGGTAGACTGGTAGAAGGGAGGGTGCAAATCAGCATCAGTGGTTCTGACTACCACAAATCACTAACATACTGGAGTTCGTATTGAATTGCCGTCCTTCAAGGTTGATGATCAAATGCTTGAACCACTCAGTTACTGGAATTTAGGGATAGTCAATAAAAATTCTAATTGTGATTGATTAGTCAGCCTAAGTTATGGTATGAGTAAGTAACAGGTACAGTTAACCAATCAAAGTACTAGTAAGTGTGAAAACAGCAGCACATGGCTTGGGTTTACTCTTAATAGCATATATTAAGAGGACACCAGGACACACAGAGGAAGTTTTAGTCTGTATATGACCAAGTCGCCTTACTAACATAAGCATACATACATTTTTGAACAAACTGTACCGCACATATGTAAATGAACGAGTCCAATAGGCTATATATAATATAACATTCAAATAGCATATAAACATGGCACACCTATAAGAGACTAGTAGCGATTTTCTCTTCTTGGTGTTTATATGGCCTAAAGCTGGATATCTTTGTCCTCCGTCCGCCTTGCAGCTGCTGTAACTCAACAGAAGCTGAAGGCCTGAGCCCTTTCCAAATGCGCTTTTGTTTCGAATGCTGTCTTGTTTCGTCCCTAGGCATGTGCTACTACTTACCTGTACAATTCAATGCACCAACTGTTTGTGTTACTACTCCATGGTTACTGTACGGCTGCTGGGACATAAACTGTTGTTTATGTTAATTTGTAAAAGATTATTGCGACTACGCTACCTGAATGTCCACTGATCTCCCTCTAAACTCGGACTTCATTTGCAGAGATCATGGTTTATTTTTATGGAAGTTGTGCACAGGAGCAGACCAGCAGCAGTCTCTGTTGTCGAGTTCGGAGCATGGTGTCCACGAGGTGGTTACACGCTACACATCCGCGTAACACCGACGGAGACAACGAGACAAGTTCTGTGAAACTTAAATATATTTAATTTGGTGAATCTACATGCGGGGGCCACCTCCAATGCTATCTGTGTATCTTATGCCATAAAACGATAATAGACGACCACTATCGTACATACATGCGACCACGGACAACAAAAAGCCAAAAATAATAATAAAATAAGACATGCAACTCGATCATTGTCTGCACATACCACTTTCTGTCCATGGTCTCTTGAATGTAGAAATGTTTTCGCTGGCTTCAAAAATACTTTGAAAGCTTTTTAAAAGTTATGCAGTTTCCCCGTCGACAATGGCCCCCCGTGACATCCCCAATCACTCCGCATACCCATTACGCTGTAATACGAAGTCTACATCCGCCGAAATCTAGTCCACAAGAGGGACTAAAACAAAGAAGGAACAGTTCTTGATGCTTAAATGCACTGAATGAAGGCAATTGAGCAACAAAACTTAAATAGCGGAAATAACTCAGCAACAAATTATACATTTATACTAATGCAAAACATTTAAAAGAAAATGTACACATAGTTTTTATACATTTTACTTCAAAAACAAATAATAACACAAAGACTTATTACATTATCTGGATTATACACATCAGATTTCAGACAAATTAAGAATCAGTATTGAAGCCAGTGGTGTCCTGCATGGTCGGCTTCAGTGATGCAGTGGTGCCACAATAGAGATCCTCAAGCAGTTGACTTCAGTTCCCCAAACCCTAATAAATAAAAGACGAGCAAATGACAAAAGCATCAAGCAATAAGTTGTAAGCAACAATATAATCACACAAATACATATTTATTTTCCAATACACTTTATTTGTAAAGCACATTTTATCAATGGACCTCAAAACACGTGCTGGTGTAAATAAACAAAGCTGTAAATACGTACTGGTGTCATACAACCATTACAAACGTAAGTACGCACTAATAATACTTAAATAATAATAAAAAGTTAAAACAATGGTTCCAGATCTGTGAACACTGAATCCATTTGCTCTTGCTGCCCCCTGCTGGCTTCCCCTTGACTAATTCTGGCATATTCACAAAAATGTTAATTAATATGAACTTACATATGCGCTGCCCCCCTAAATATGAAAAGGGCTATGCCATCAAATCATGTATCCTTAGTTAAATGACAGCCAATGGCATCCCAGATACAATCGTGCCTGCTGGTACTGAATAACACATACCAGCACATGTCACATCTTAAATTAATTTGATATGTGTACTAACCTTCACATCTTATTCATCCTTTTTAAATTTACCGTTGATGTAAGGAACATAGTCCAGTATAAGTCGCCAGTCGGTGAAGTGGATCAGTGCTACACCTCCCGCTGTGCCCCACACTGCCATAGTTGGAACCCTGAAAAACAGAAGAGAGATTTATGAAAAAATATAGATGGACAATGAGTCTTTATACCTTGGGAGGTGACATAATGGCATCACTTTCTAATGAAACATTAAATTCATACATCTAGAACCCCATTACAGGATAGTATGATTAATATAAAATCCATTAAATACCCTTTCCTTGAGATAAAAAAAAATTAATAAAATAAAATAAGTATATTATATTGTAGATATAGATATAAATACATAGATAAATTGCTAATGACCACCTATAAATCCTGCTCATTAGGTATATATTACAATCACGTACTGTAGTTTGGTACTGAATGTCATTTATCCCAAAAAAAAATCTTGTAGCTAAGATTTACTTTCTGTGTTAGTATACACTGAAGGAAGAAATTATTAGCTTTACTAGTGTTACCCAATAAAGTTTTAATAATTTCTAAAGCTTTCCTAAACTTGTCGTGACTTCTCCCTCTTAGCGGTGGTGACCTCGTCTTGGCTAATGGCTAAAAGCTAACGTCAACTAAGGATATATGATGATGTCCACCCAGTCACATGCAATAAACTTGATGGGACTACTGATACATAACAACAAGCTTACCACGATTTGGCAATGGAAACATATTTCGAACCCAAAACTTTACTAAGCATTTTAGACGAGCGGAACAGCTGATGCGCTGGTAAGAAAAGGTCGCGCTTAGCCTCCTGCTGCAGAGTGCGCATGTGCGAGCATCTACATCCGGTTCTAACAAAATAAAAGAAAAACGCAAGATTGTTGTATGTGTGTTGTATGGAAACGTGATACGTGATACGACCATAGACTGTATGGATACAATTTGTAAAACATCTGAATAAAAATTATAAGCTGATAGCCATACACCTGTATACCACTCGTACAGATTGTATATGTGGCACCACTAAACTTCCACAGGTACCATTCAAAAATAGTTATTTGGACCTTTCAACAAGTCAATACATTTCTGTTACTTTTAGCATTATAAAATAAGACACACTGAAATGAACTTTTTAATGGCACATTTATTGCTACATTACTGTTATATACACAACAGCTCTCAATTTCTACTTTATATATAAAAAATAAGAAACTGGAGGCACTTTGAGGACAACCTGTAGAAATTGTCCCCAAACATGAGTGAAGACACTTATCTGCAGCAGATATCTGTTATGAAGATATGATAAGCTGTTGCAGTTTACATTAGAAGTATGCATACCTCTTCTGTTTGATGAGTAAAATAATAGCAGAATTAAAGAAAAATGGGCAAAAGTGGACAAAGGTAAACCAAATACTGTCAGAGCAGTGCCAACTTATAATCGTAATTCTGATCAAATATCTTGTATAGTTCAAAACAAAACAGATGTTAGTCAAGGTCATACTATTCAACAAAATAAGTACATCAAATTTAGGGCTTTTTTTTTTTTGATAAAGTGTCCAAGGTGAACACCGAAAGACTAGTTAATTAATAATTCAGATGGTCAAAGACACAGTCAGATATATCACGGGAGTCCATAATTTTTAACAGTACAACAAATAAATCTACAGATACATCTTCCACCATGTAGTAGAGGTTTATGCAGGCACTAGTGAGTAATCAGTATGAAAAATCTGCAACACCAGAACTAAGGCCACCCTGATGATTGAGTTTAGTTTGTCTTCACGTGGTTTTAAGTATAGACTCAAGAACAGTATACCACAAACTATGCAGATATTGCAACCGAGTTGCCAATTACATGAAAAAGCAAAAATTATACAAGAGCTGAAAATGTGAAGGGGAAAATTTCACAGTGGTAACTGTTGTTCCCTTTTAAACAGGATGGGTATCATGTGTATCACTAGGATCCAATTAACTGGCCAGTTAAAAAGAGGCAATTAAAATACCAATGGAACATGAACATTAGATTCATATCTGAGCACCTGGCACAATACCTCATTTGTTCCTGTAATCTCAACTGAACCTACAATGCATTGAAAACATTTTCAGCCCCAAGCAAACACAAAACTGTCAGTCAAAGATAATTCAATCAAGTGTAATTTTATGGTCAATTAAGAGGGTGATAAAATATTAAATGTTTTATATTTTAGAATTAGAAAAAAGGGATTGTGGCAGAATATATTTTCAAGGCAATGTATGTAAACAAAGATCATTTTAAATGAAAACTTCAATTATACACAATTATTTTACAAAGTAAAAAAAAAACATTATACAAAAGGAAAATTCTCATACAGGCAATTGTTTAAAAATAAGAATGCAAAACGCCTCCACGTGGTCAGTCAATGGCAATACAGAAAATTGTCCATTCAGTAAAACTCATGATCCCTTTCATCAACTTGCACTTCAGCTGGTAAAGAGGCAACAGTCACATAATACAAATGTTCTGACGATTGTATGAAATTTGAGCTGTAAATACCGAAGTGGATTTACTCAGGGCACTGCTGACAAAATGATGGTGAAGATGGGGCAGAGGTGTTGTCATCTGCACTGGAGTCCAATAAACGCCTCATAGAGGAATAGTTTGGAAATCCATTGACACGTTTGATTCACTGTAGATTCACTTTTTCCAGAGTCTCTGCTCAGGTTTGTTTGTGTGGTGGGTCTCTTTCCTTTCTCTATTCCACTTGCATGGCAGTGACAATAACAAATGTACAGGACGCTTCGAGGTAAGACTCAGGATCCACAGTACAAAATAATTCACGCATAGTGAGTCTTATAGGTTCATTCAGTCATTTCGAACAATAATCCATACTTTTTAAGTCAGGAATGCCAATCAAATGATCCAATAAAACATTTCTTTCAGTTTTCTCATATAAGCAATTGATCCAAGTAACATTTGCTTCCAACATGTAACGTACAAAAAAAACAAAACAGAATGTCATCCTTGTCCTTTTCTCAAAACTGTCATCCCTAGTTCTTTATTTCAGTAACATGTTTTTTCTGTAAATCCAAAGGAATGTGGCCAACTGCTTTTCAGTATGGAAGGAAGTGTGTTTTGTAGAAGTTGATTAACACACTCTATTAAGATGGACAACAATGATATACTGTTTTAAGGCCACATGTTTTCAGCGCTGTACAATCAACCATAACTGTAAAAGATTAAGAAACAGTCCCATTACAAAAAAACATATTAAGTAGTGTACTTTATTTTCGAAAGAGTGCAGTAAACCTCACCTGAGTATTACAGGTGTCCATCTCCCCCCAAACCTGGGTGAGTCCCTCGATGAATCTGTTGGTCCACCCCAGAAACTTTATCCTCCTCTCTCCTTTTGAGACATGCCGCCTTAGGGTTTAGATTTCGCTCTTTGGAAACAAAGAATAAAACTTCCTAAGAACTGAAGTAAATGTCATGTTTATAGAGTTTAACCACGAAAAGCTAATCAAACCCAGAAATGAAAATAGTAGGATGAAAACTTGGCAGAAAAGTAGTGACACTTCCTCTCTCTTTTCCATGGCTCATTATTTAAAGAGAGGAAAGCTGAAGCGGATGTAACACAAGTGAAATGTTCAGGAGGGGAAATAGCTTCAGTAAAATTTGTTGAGCTTTGAGGTCTCCATTGAAGACAAACTGGGCCTTTCTTACTTTGGGTGACCTACCTCGCACCTGCTTCTCCAGGCCCATTATGACCTGGACGGCCTGCTGCAGGATGACCAGCTTGGTCTGGGCTTTGTCGCTCTGGAGGTGGACCTGACACATCCTGCCCAGCTCTCTGAAGGCCTCGTTAATGTCTCGCACACGCACCCTCTCTCTGGCATTGTTAGCTAGGCGGCGCTCTCGCTCCCTTTGCTCCTTCTCTTCAGCAGTCAGGTTCTCATCGCTCACTGAGACCACGCTGCTGCCAGGAGAAAGGGGGTTGAAGCTGCTAGGTAACAAAACCAGACGAAAAGCATGACGGACCTGTACTACATATTTGCACTTTCTGCTGATTATGTCTTTATTATTCTTTTTTTCTGCAATTAAATTGATGAAGAAATCCAGTGGAGTGGCCTTCTGGGTAAGAGAGTGTATGTATCAGAAAGAATTTAGGTATTCTTTGAAGGTCAAATTTAAATTCTGAAATCTGATAAACAGATTCCCGTGACACTGATTGTTCAACGTTTTAGTGGTTACTGGGGTCCAGGCCGAAAGTTGTGGGTATATACCTATATCACAGGACAGAAGTTATGAGGGAGGGAAAGAGAAAGGAAGCGCACCCTCTGCCAAGTGCTGCACAAAGACAGAGATAAAGCCATTGTGTTAAATACATCAGCAGCAGGAGATGTATTTATTTGAATGCAATAGAAAAGATCACTGTTGCCATCTGTGGAAGGGAAATAAAGGCAATGGAAACGAAACAGCGCAGCAAAAACAATTAATGCCTGAAAGGCTGAGGCATGCATTACACAGACACTGCAACCAATTAGTGAAGTTAGTAAAGATGAGAGCAGCTACTGAGGTTCAGTCACATAACAAGAAGCATGTTGAAAAGACAGACATATATGCTCTATAAATATGCTATACAAAAAAGACAAAGGCTGAGACAGTCTGCATCAGTTATGAAGAAAACATGGTTATGCACAGAATAAGAAATGTTAATGCCTAAAACGCAAAATTTTTAAACCTTCAAATTAATCTACTATGAGTAGGCATTAAAGGACATTTCACTGAAAAAACAACCACACAGCTTCATTTCTGTAATATGTTCCCTTGTTTTAAATGTGATATTTAAAAAAAAATCAGTTTGTTTTATTTGACAATGTCAGAAAAAGCATAATTTTAAAAAGTAGAGAGCAGAGTGAGACTGTGTGGATGTTTTTTGTCCCCATCTCGTCCTTTGGTCCTGGACCCCACTGACCTCGGACTTGCTGCTCCAGATTGAGTATAACGTTAACGGCCTGTTGCAGTACGATCAGTTTGGTCTGAGGTTTTTCATAGCTTAGATGGAGTTGGCACATGCGGCCGAGCTCCTTGAAAGCCTCGTTGATGTCCCGCACACGGAGCCGCTCACGCGCGTTGTTTGCCAATCTCCGTATTTTTTCCCGTTCAGCCTTAACCTCCACTGGCAGGTCTTCATCATCCTCTTCATCATCTAGGCTACTATATAGCCAATGGCCAAAAAAATTATTAAGTTAATAGCCTGGTGCTAAACAGGTCCTAAACTAAAAATAGTAACACAGTCCTAAAATATAAATGTTAACACATAGTTTAACGTGTCTACCAAAAAAAATGTGTAATTTTAACCTGAACTTTTCAGATTCAGCTGTTATTTGGAACAGCTGAATTAATTAATTAACTCTAAGATTAAGATTTTATTCCTGTTGATCTTCTGATAATCTTGCCAATAAGGAATACCTTGTTCGAATGCGGTTCCTTAAGTCCTTCTTCTCGTCGTCGGACTTATCTGTGACAGAGCAGTTCTCGTCATCCTCCTTTCTCTCACGCTTGATTTCAGGAATACTTGAACGGTTTAATCCACCAGACAGATCTAGACAGGGAAGTGACACTTTTATTTAAATAGACTGTTGCATCACATTATGTGATATAAATAAAAACACTTACTGCTAAAAGTTTCAGGTTGAGGACCAGACTGAATCGGTGCAGGACCAAGGTGGCTATTCAGCAGTCCACCACTAGAGGGCAGACTTACAGAGTCCTCATGGTGACTGGTTCCCTTCAGAAAAAAATTAAATGTATTAAAATATAAATAATACAGAAAATGAACAAAAGCAAAATACATAACAAAATGTAATGTTTCCATACCAGTCCTGAGAGACGGCTGCCAAGTCCTAGCGTTCCACCAAAGGCCTGTGCTAACCCGAGACTAGACGAAATCAGGTTGTGCATCTCAGTAGATCCTGGCCCTCCTTGTCCACTAGCATGACGCTGAAGAACGTTCAGTGCTTCCTCCAGGCGATCCATTTTATTTTGCTACAAAGTAATTAGATAAAATAATAACAAAAAAGCAATATTTTAGGCAGCAGTAAATTATCTTAAAACAGTAAGCAATAGCTATAAACCAAACCATTAAATATTTTCACACAATTTACAAGAAATTAATTAAAAAGTAATTTGTACACAATTAAAAATTGTATGCACCTTTTCTTCATGAATAGGTTAATCACAGCATTATATTGTTCTCACCATGGGCTGTATTGACTCTTCAAAATTAGGGGAAGGAGTGGTTTGGCTTGAAGACCGAGTCCACTGGGAAGCAGAAGCTAGGGACACAAAGAGAAAACGCCTCATTCACAATGTTCCTCCACTCAGCAGAGCACATAAGCCACTAGTGGGGCTTTTGTAAGAAGTCTGTGTGTGAGTAGGTTGACAGAAATATCTCAAAATTTAAAACAAACTCCATTATCTTCGTGTATCATATTAACACTATAATTGAAAAGCATAGTACATTATAGGTTAAAGATAGGTATAATACAGTAAAATAAAACAGCAGGATGTTTTGAAGCTGTGCTAAAAACAAAGTCCAAATCTCCAAACTCAACGAAAACAATGCAACACAAGATTTTAGTGCAGCCATCAACAACAGGAAACTCTCTATACAGAATGACCTTGAGGCCAGAGGAAAAACTGAGCCCGGCTCTGCACTCACCTGATACAGCCTCAGGCGAGCCAGAAGGGGTGGATGGGGACGGAGGGAAGGCACTGCTGTTTGGGTCTGAAGGGTAAATCTGAAAAGGCATCACAATCAATCACTAATCAAAGTAATAAGTACCCATTTTTTATACTTACAGAAGCCAGAGCTTTTCCAATTTCATCGCCTGAGCTTCCAGGAACTGCCCCACGATTACCTAAAGAGATGTCAGATTTTAATGAGTCTATTGACCTGGCCTGTTTTATTTTTGACTTTCTTTAATTTTTTTCTCAAACATAAGACAGCTGTTAATCTGCAACATGAAAGCCATCTAAGAATTACACTGAACAGTAACTTACTTCTTCTGACTTCTCGGTTTTTCTCCCTCACCATCTTGTGAGGGAGAATTTCTATTGTAATTTCTATTTGTTCTGAAGCCATTTTAAAAGTCAAGTTAAGTTAAATTATTGTCTAACAAAACTATCTTTTAACAAACCTCCTGACTGTATACTCTGCAGTGACTTCTATCTCAAAGTGATTATTAATATAAACCTAGAGTATATGCTTGCAATGCAATAAATCCAAGGAAAACTGTACCCATTAGAGTGTCAGTGCCGGCAATGGGAGGAGTGTGGCAGGGGACTCCAAAGCTGCTGGAGCCGGATTGGAAGCCAGCCGGATGAGCTCCATTGACTTCACTGCCATGCAGGGGGTAGTTTTGCGGAGACAGGGGCAGTGGCTGCCGTTTCTGTATAAAATAAAGCAAATTCAAAAACTACACTTACAGTGATCATAGCCTCGCCTCTTCATAGTTGTTCATCATTGAGGTATTTATTTATTTATTTACAAAACATCCACTTCCCTACTGGTCCAGTGTTTGGGTAATTCCTATTTTCTAGTTACAGAGGTTGTAGTAAAGCTGCATTACTACTTATAAATTACTTATACCTACTACTATATTATACCGATAGCTTTGTGTTGATTAGACCCTCTTCTCTATTGTTTAAATGTTACTTCTTGTCCATTCATTGTGCAACCGTATGTAGCTCCTCCTGGGGCTAAATGGGCTGAGGTGAGCTTAGGGCTAGACCACTTTACAAGAGGGTTCAAGGACCAGTACAGCTTAAACCCCTTTTGGGGTTTGGAACAAAGTGGCCACACCCACACAGTGCCACGCCAGTGGAAATAGACTCATATGAACAGTCACAATAAAATAAGCACTGACCATTCTGTCCTGGGGGTTGATGGCTGAGAAGGGGCCATGGCTCAGATGGGGGGTGTTGCCATGTACGGCAGGATAACCAGGCTGCACCATCGACCCGCCAGAGCCCCATGGGTCTGAGGGAGGATGGAGACCTTCTGTCAAGAGGCAGTGGACGCAGTGGGCACAATGTGTGCAGAACAGCCAGATGTAAAGGGAGAAGAATAAAGCCTCATGAGTCACAGTAAAACAACTTTGTTCAAATGACACACAACACACAAATCAATCTAATCCACTTTTATACTTATATACTAATACTGCTAATATAGCTATTAAAATGTGTCTGATTATGTTTAATAAAATAGAAAGCTTACAAGCTCAAATTTTCAAACCTTGCATGTAGTAAGATGGAGGGTAGACATTTCCTGCTTTAGAGCTTGGGTAAGCAGCATTCTCTCTGCTAAATTCCTCTCCAGTTGCTGATGCATACACCTACAAAAGTGCATAAGGCATAAATGCAATATAAGGTTACAGTTTCTGCATTAGATCTAAATTCTTGCTTTGTGGTGTACTATTGTTTTTGTAGTGTATTTAGTAGCTGGTTGGTTTTGGACTGCCTTAAACATACTCACTAATACATGAAAAAATGTACAGGAGACACATGAAGAGCACGGGAGATATGCATAACTATGCATAGGCATACGCATCTTTGTAACGACACACCCCCTCAATCAATGCTATTATAAATAAACAACAAGTAACAAACTGTGTCTATAAAACTAAACTCAAATGGACTTAAGTTTTCTTCTGTAATTTGATTAAACAAAAAGAAAAAGAAGAGGAAAAGAAGGAAGAGACGAGCAAACGGAGAGATGCACTACTAATTACTGAACCATCTGCCGAATCCTGGACAGCAGCCAACTCCACTGGCAGCTGGGATAGAGAGATGGGGGAGGGAGGGGGAGGGCTGTTGTTCACGGCGGTGGGGGTGGGAAGAAAGGAAGAAACCGAAGAGGAGGAAATAGGGTGCAGCGGCGAAGTGGGAGGAAAAAATGAGGTGGAGCGAAAACCATCAGTGATCTAACTTGGCTCAAGCACAGAACTGTGGCCATAAAGTAAAGGCTGCACCAATACTGCTATAAATACAAGCAGCGGATCAGAGAGCAGCCAAACGCATGGGTTTGTGCTTTTCTTTTATTTTTACAGCAGCACAAGGTTCATTACATGCACAGACTATATTCACTTATATTACAAGGGCAGAGCTACAGAGCTATAGCGGTATTGGTGAGTGCAAATATGAAGCATTTATAAGCAGCCTGGGCTCTTTCAGTTTAGAGAGGAGTGCTCACCGAAGATGGTAGGCCAGGTGGGACCTTCCTGATCTTTTTTGGCTGTGTGTCTAACAAGAGAAAAAAAATTGAGATATTATCAAACAGTACATAAATAATTTTAACACTTTACAACACACTCTCAATTTGTACATTTAAAAATAAGCATTATTAAATGCAGAACGTCTTACCAATGGGTTCTTGTGCAGGTCGTCGGCGAATATTGGCTCCCCCATAAGAGGCATAAAACTGAGAGTTTGACTTGGGGCCGGTCGGTGAGAGAGCATCAGGGCTGGTCAGGGGCATTTCACTGGGCATAAATCCCGGCTACAGAAAAGCAGAAGAATATTAAATTAGAGAGTTGCGAAAGTAAAGACATAATGCTGTAGCTGAGAGTGTGTTCTCTGCAAAATTATTTACCTGTGTTGCAAATGAAGTGTATGCTCCACGATCAGCCTTCCCTGTGAAAAGAGGGGGCCTAATCAGGTCATGATCATAAAACATATTTTATGTCACTGCTAAATCACAGTGTGTCCTGCCCCTTTTTCAGTTTGTGGGCTCACCATCTGCTGTTTAAACGTATATGATGCAAGTATTTATGGATCTGGACCAAAAAACATCAACAAATTGCCCCATTATAAATGGTTTGGGGGCAATTTCACCCAACCTCTGGCCCCTCCCTTGACAGTTAAACACAGAAGAGCCATAGGCTGTAGTAATCCCAGGGGGAGTCTCGTTTGTGCATGGGTGCCCTTTACACCCAACCCCCTCCATCAGGAGCACACAAACAGACCCTCCTCCTGCCCCCCTTTCCCATTAACCTCAGCTTCAGCCATTGCCATCTCACCAGAAAAGGCTTTGACCAGTTGTACTTGGTGTTTAACTGCCTTTTTAAGCAGTAAAATAACTATGATAAAAACTCTAAGATTCTACATTATTTTTAAATAAACTAAAACATACCAACAGCTCCTGAGCCAAAGAGGGGACCAGAAGTGATGCCATCCTGCTCACTGTAAAGGTTTCCTTCACCGTAACTCTGTGAAAGTAAAAAAAGTTTGAACTTGTCTTGTCTAACTTTTTAGAGTGATTACAATCAAATAATCACAGATTATTGTTTGTTTATGGTTTATACAAAATCTTCTTTTAACAACATTGTAAAAATCCATGAATATATTATAAGTTTAAAAAACATACATATGCATGATAACTATATCACAGCCTAGTTTTCGAGATGTGGGTTATAATGTAAGTTGTTCGTATTAAATCTACAAGGCTACTTAGATATTCAGGAATTAGCCGTACCCTTGTCTGGTTAAAGGATGGACTGTTCTGCTCTCCTTGTCCCCAGGGACCGGACCCATTCCTCTCATCTAAAAGACAAAGAACTAGGTTAGGCCAATTATCAAATAAATGGAACACATTTGCACTCGTCACAAAGTTAAGTCTAACTTGGATTCTCATGTTGACCTGCTTTGATCCAAGTTTACACCTCTCCCGAGAGTGCACTGCATCGACAGCGCATGACAGTGACGCGCTGTCATGCAGCGAGGAGGTTATGAGCTGTAGGAAGTTTGAATAATTAACACTGTGTGTGAGCCTCAGAATACTCCTTCTCCCACTCCTCACGTTTTCCATGGCAACAGTCGCTCGGGCCCATTCTCTCACTTTTGGCAGTCACCTTTAGCGCCTCGGAGACACAACGTCTCAATCAGGCACAGTTGACACTGGTGCGGCCTGGCCAAAGCACTTGAGCTCTCAAAGAGGTGAACGTGTTTGAAAGGAGAGATTTTAAAGATTAGTGAAGCAGAAATTTCTGCCTGTCCTCTTTTCCTCAATTTCCTCTCATACTGCAACACAGCATCTCTGGGGGAAAGCTGAAGCTTAATTGCGTGCTGATTTGCATAATTGTGCATATTAATGAAGCTAAGCTCTATGAATATTCATATTTTTGTTTTGTTGTCTAATTAAAAAGCGGAGATGGGAGAAGAGAAGGGGGAGAAGGGTTTGAATCATGACAGGATCAGCAGTAGAACAGAAGAATAGGTCCACAGTGTGCGGAGAGCAGCAAGATTGTCGTGACAACTATGATCTATACGCGCAGTGGCAGAGGAGTAAGAGATGGAGACAGCGTCTTGTTTTATCGCTCGGGCTGACTGTCACTCAACCTGCCAATCAAACACTCCAGAGAGGATGCAAATGAGTCCTGTTGGTACAGAATCATTCCAATGCAGTCTGACAACAAACAAGGCCACTGTTAAATACTGTTCAAGCAGATGCCACAGTAACTACAGACATAGTCAAAGGTCTAAGTGAAATGCCTCAAATCTAACCCACCAAGTGATAGTGAAATTTCTGTCATATCACAAAGCCTGCTTGAACATAACTAAGTCACCTGTGTCTGAACATTAGCTTAAATTCATAAAGAAAAGCTTTTAGGGCTGCTTCAAAATAATACATCACAAATCCATCACTAAAATCAGTGTTGAATATTTTAATGTTAACTGTTATCTGGACTACACAGACTCAAAAACACGAGTTAAAAGACACTTAAATATCTGTTAAAACAAAACAACATATATTTACATTTATTTGGTATATAATTTATTTTAAAAATCTCAGTGTTCTATAGAAATAACAATTTGAATAGTAACGAATTGCAGTCGCACTATCTTTAATACAAAAGCACTTTCCACAGTATTAAAAGGTATATTATTCTTTACAAACTATAAAATATTGTTTTGAACTGCACAAGAAAAATATTACTGTTCCTATTTTCTTTCAAATTTCTTCTGTCTGCATTATATAATCTCTAGAGCTAAAAGTAGTTAATCTACTCGCTACTAATCGATTAATTGAAGCAAACGCAATTTGTAACACTCGTGTAGTAAATAAATAACTGTTATCCACAGAATGAAAGAACCGTAATATAGTGATTCATCAAAATTTTACATTCACAATGATTTAACTACTAAATAACTAATTGATTTATTGATTAACGAAACAAAAAAATGTTGCAGCCCTAATAATCCCAATCTGTAATTACCAGGTAAATTTCTGAAACATTTTAATTATGCTGTTCTACAAAAAGCTAAAAATGTAAGCTGTACTCAGACTGTCAGCAGGGACTGGAAAAAGAAAAATGAAGAAAAGGGTGAGTAACATGAGACAAACACTCTGGCGAACCCCAATGCACCTCTCCCAGCATGCAACGCCCCTTTGAGCACGGCCGCTCTATAATTACACAGGAAGAGATACTGGAAACAGACAAGCGGCCTGAGTCACACACTTCACGAGCACATGCACTGGCCAAACGCGCAGACGGCGCTGGGTTCGAACAGGAATACAGCCCCGGGCGACTATAACTGTAGCGCTGTGGAGTGGAGCGATCGTCTACACGCCTTCTTCCTTCCCTGACTCACACAGACACAAAGCATGATGTCAGCCCGCTCTCAAGAGACCCGGTGCTACTAATGAAATGCTCAACAATGTACAATAAGTCTGGCCATTTGAACCTGTGAGTCACTAGGGGCACCTTGCACACCAGTGTACCCTAACAAAATACAACAGGAAGAGTGTATGAGATTGTGCTAATGTAATTAAGTCAACTGAATACAAAAACTGTAATTGTGATTGATCTAGAAATGTAAAAAAAATATATATATGAAAGTAATCATGCAAATTTCTAAGTTCTCTTCTTCTGCATTTTAGGTCATACAGTGTTTAAAAATATGTTTCATGATTCTCAGTTTCCAAACGCCAAAAAATGAAAGTGTGCTGACAGATTTCATGTGTTGTCTTAAAGTAGTTTGAAAAATTATACCAAGTTTGAAAGCATAGATAAAACCACCTGGGACTGGAATACTGTTTGAACAGTTTCACCTTTACAATGAATTATCAACGCTTCCAACATTTCAAAAAGTAAAAAGTTATAACAACAACTGTGTCAACTGACTCAGAAGAGAGGGAATTAACAGGTTTCACATGAAATTAACCAGGAAATTTAAGATGCATTGCAATTTAAATTTTAAATGAGTGAGGTTAGACTTTGGGGTGGGGTGTATATTTAATCATGTCCAATGACAATGGCATGAGCGGACTCGGGGAGGATAACATCAGAGCGTGTTTTTAAGCGAACACCTTTCTGATACAAAAGAGTGAATAGAAGAAAAGGAGCAGTGGATCCCACCCTGCAACACTGGCCTTGTCTTTCATCTCACGGTAATATCCTGTTTCACTTCTACAGCCACAGAAAGGCCCACATCACCTATAGACAAAGTGCCATAAACTATGTCTGTAGCTTTGATATGGCACTGAATAAAAACTTTATAAATCTAACAAGAGAGCTGGTTTTCAGAGGTATATTAAATCAATGGGAAATACACACTATCTGACAGTTTCAACAAAACAGATTAATTGGTCTTTTTCCCATCATCCCCCACTCTGTTTCTGTCGTTAGTGATTGAATGACAACAGCTGAGGAGGTGAGGGAAGGGACACCTGTAAGGCACGGACGAGGAAGTGAAGCTGCCGCCGGTGGATCTGCAGGAGGCCAGGCGACATTTTTAAAGCCGAGAGAGAATCTGTGAATGGACACACTTTGAAATGACACAAGCGGGAAACAACTACTGCCATTGGTATTCAAAATGCCGCAGACAGCTTTTCAGAACAACTACGTTCGGTCATGGGCTGTTTTACTAAAGGAAATGTGGACGGCTGCCTTTTGAAACTACCCAGGATATTAAAGGAAAGAATACCGAAAAGAAGAGAAGGAGAAGTGAAATTTTAAAAAATTATTTTGTCTTGGTCTTACCTGCACCTCCAAACTGGCTGGCGAGAGTGGTTGGACGATTTTTGCCATTTGAAACAGGAAGCTCAAACATCTAAAAATAAAAACGTAACCACTGTTATTACAAGAATCTGCAAAATGTTTATGTAAATAAAACTGTGGTTCTGTGTAAAATGCCCAAATGGACTTTCTTGAAGATCTTTATTATCCATTACCCATGTCTACATTTAGCAAAATCCAATTATCAAAGAAGGCTCTTTTCATACATAAACAATTTTTTTTGTCCAAATTTGAGCCACATCTTACCGCAGTAAAATCCAGCAAATCGCTGAGCTCCTTGTCTGTTCCAACCGCAGCCATTCTGCGCGGCTGATCACTGGGCCCTTTCCGTCTCAGCAATGACTGACACAGAGGAGAGGAACACATGAGTGAACACAAAGCACAAGAGTGACACATGCTATCAGTAACAACACAACTTTTAATGTTCAATAAGAGGCATGTACTATGGAATGACAATGTCAAGATTAATTTGTTAATCGCCAATTGTGATACAGGTCACATTTCATAAAAACTAAAAATTTACCATAAGAATTATAGAAGCAAAATAATTAATTTCAAATTGAACTATACCCTAAAAGGTAAACCAAAATGTAAATGTGTGTGTTGTTGGTGTCTGCCTGTAACATTGTCACATTAATGTTGTCATATTACTTATCATTCAGAGAATTACTGTAGATTTCATAAAATGAATGACATACCAGGAATGGTTTTCTATTAATCAGTTACGTGAATGAAAGATTTTGCTGTTGTGGTGTCATTAATTATATATTTGTGATGTTTCTTCTCCCTGTAGATATTTGTGTAGTATTAAAACACACATACAAATACACCTGATGGTTCACATAAAATAGCTTATGGTTAACACTTAGAAGAGAACAAAGCAGGCATGATCCAGTATTAAGAAAAATGATAATCTATGTTTGTATATTGTGCTGAATCTTAAGGTTAAGGCTTTCACCCAAAAGTCCACCAGCTGCAAATGTTTGAAGGTTGAGCCACATCTATGAGAGCGCAGCCACAGGCCACAGAGGGCTCACTGTTAGCCCCCTTTCTGCTGTCTCCACCTCAAACCAACCTGCTACAACCAGAGCAGACACACATGTGGCAGGGCAGCCACATCTTTAGTAATATGTTGTAATAAACCCTTCAGTACAGTCCATACACTCAGCTTTTGGGGTCACTTTAAAGAAAATTGAAAAATAGTGTAAATTTTTTGCCTCTGAATGTCAAACGTTAGATACCGGTGCCAGTAATTAGTCAGTAATATGTATAGGTTCATAAGCTATGAGAGTCTTTGTAATAAGCCTCCAGAAATAGACTGTGAGTGTGTTAACGTGATTTGCACCTCTAACTACGTATGCCCAAATAAACCATCATAACGTATTAATAATACGATGACACAACACCAGTCTATTCCTTTGGCAACAGGTCCCGTCAAGGTAAAAAGTCATAAAAAATTAGATACAAAGGGGTGACTAATTCTTTCTTTCAGTTGAATGAAACGCTACTAAATCCTTTGACACAACAAAGTCTCGCATTTTCTGCGTCTCGCTGAGCTGAGGTCAAAATGGGGGATTAGCCCCTCCTAACAAATGGAAGTTCGCAGCCTCTGCTGGTCTTGAACACCCCCAC